AAAAAACAGATTAAGTGAGGCTTATGAGGAACGCATTACAGCCGTCACGTTTCTTATTTTGTGCTCATCCATGGATGTAATAATTCATGCTTATTGCGCACTATGTTTATAATGTATGAAGTATTATATAAAAATACAGTGCGTGTTCCAATGTTGTATATAAAAATACAGTGCGTGTTCCAATGCTGATTTCCTGAACTCTAGTAATTTGAGTCCACTTGATATTATCCCACAGACTTCAAATAAAAAACCGGCCAAGAGCGTGTTGGGCCACGCTCAATGTAGGGTTCCGTAGTTTCCCGTCCGTCACAATAAGTGTTCCCACTTATGAGTTTAAAGGTGGGTATCCATTATGTTCGCGCTCCAGCAGCGCTCCGCGCTCCTGCAACTGCTCCCGGTAGTGGGTACGTGCGCGAACATGGAGCGTGCAACATTGCACACTCCGCGACACGCGATGCCAAGGAGAGACCAACCGAACAATTCGATAATACCCGACCCAATGTAATAAGTACCTACAGCGCCATCTCTCGGGGAATTGGGTTACTAATTAATACATAGACGTGCCAGAAGTTTTCGGTGGTAATTTTGGATAATTTTTTAATAATTCTTTTTTTTGTTTGAAAAAAGATACGTTCAGGATAATAAAATATGTAAACGAAGTTAAAAAAATGCCTGCTTAAACGATTATACCACAAACTTAGTCCAGAAATTATTTTGTACAACTTTTTGTCTTTTTTGTACAAAAACTGTTTCCATCCAGGTTCAAAATAATTTTCCTAGAAAGTCCTTATAAAGTTCTACCTTTCAGGTTTTTTTCATATTTTCTAAACCTATGGTTCAAAAGTTAGAGGGGGGGGACACATTGTTTTTTACTTTTGGAGCGATTATTTCTGAAATTATTGACATTATCAAAAAATGATTTTAGTAAACCCCTATTCATTTTTAAATACCTTTCCAACAATATATCACACGTAAGGGTTGAAATTAAAAAAAAATCACTTCCCACTTTACATATAGGGGGGCTACCCTAATAAAACATTTTTTCCAATTTTTTATTTTACCACTTTGTCGGCATGATTGATACACATATTGGTACCAAATTTCAGCTTTCTAGTGCTAACGGTCACAGAGATTAAGCGAGGACGGACAGACGGACAGACAGACATGGCGAAACTATAAGGGTTCCTAGTTGACTACGGAACCCTAAAAAGGAAGGATTCTTAACTTAAGGGAGATAATACATACGAGTACGCCGCTACCATACATTTATCTGCGCCATTTTTTCTTATAGCTACAAAAAATCTAGTCTGTGTGACCGCACTTTTGAACCATGGGAAATCATTTTTATTTCTCAAATATAAATAAGAACTAAAATCACACATTTAAGAATGAAAGGACGTAAAGCTTACCTATCTTTAAATACGGACAACAAAGTTCTTGCAGCAATATTTTACACGAACAATAAAACTTTAATGCCCGAAATAAAGACCTATTCGCAAATAAAGGTGACGTTTGCTATATTTACAGCGCTCGCTAGACAAAGTTTTGAGCATTTACGTTGAGGACTAGGCACGACAATAGTCAGTATTTAATGTTCTTCATATTCCCCTATTCTGGCATTTAAATGTTCAATATTGGAAGTGAGCTTGTCCTGTGGCAGTTAATCGTTACGTTAGGCAAGAGTTTTGCTGATCGCAGCACACGTAAGCTATTTAACGCTGCTGTCCCGACGGACTATCGATATAGCATGGATATTTTACCACACCTGAAATCGAGATAGTTTTACCGCCACTTATCGGGAGCCATATAGTTCTTCTTGAATTCAATCAATTCTTGATCAGATTGGTCGAGAGATCAAATTGCCTTAGATTTTCATTACAAGTTTTTCAAGTATAATTTAAGTATGGATACTTAAATTATACTTGCCAAACGAACATTCATTACAAATACTAACTCATTGATAGTTTTATCTTTAAATCTTTTACCTTGTTGTTTAAGCTTGCTTCACGTATAAAAACAACATTTTAAACACAGTAGCTGGGTTCCATATTTTAAATTGTCAATAAAAGTAAAGTCCCTATTGTCCACAGCACTCAGCATATCGCATGCGTAGCTCGTAGCTGCAGTACAAATACCAACGGCTCAATATTTTACTTTTATCGACATCCTAGCATAGCAGAGTCACAATTCTTTATAAAATAGACATAGTTCGTTTGCATTGACAAATGTCATTTATGACGGTTGAATAATATGGCTGCAGCGTAGCTGTACTACTTAAAAATATAAGTAAGTAAAAATAATAGGTTAATTCTTGTAAGAAGTATTTCTATGGATTAAGAAATAAATCTCACGTTCAGAATGTCCATGTTGCTATTTGGAAACAGTGATAGTGTTACCCAAATAGTAAGATCAGAGTAAAGTGTTCGACACACCCTTCTACTCATAGAGTAGAGTAATATATGCTTCTACTACGTCCGTAGTGACCGCTTCAAATGTTTAGCAAATGGAAAATCTGTTGGATATTTTTAGTTTAAACATGCCAACCGACTCGTGACTGTGAACATGCATTTCGTCAAAAGAGGTTGGCTGCTATAAAATATACAAAGTCATTCAACATTATGCAGTAATTTACTTCTGGTATATGGTTATACCGCTATCTATCGGACAGATACAAGATCATTCTGAGGCTATCCACAGTCACCTCTTACGATACCCACGAAATGAAATGGAGGGATGGATATTCTTATCACTACTACAAGGATGTCTACTGTAGCTACATTGACAATAACGAACATTTATATTATTAAATGATCCGTAGTAATCAACTATCGCTTACAGTCCACCCTTTCCGGCTTGCTTGTAAGGCGACTAGTGCTAGATACGAATGCGCTGCACGCTCTCGTCTATCTGTTCTCTATGTAATGAGTGATATTCACTTGGTCATTTTGTTTGAGCTCTTTGACTTTTATTCATTTGAATTGAATCTTTTTTAGAAACAAATTAGTTTTCTTAAACACGAAAAATAAATTTAATCTTCAAATGTGTAGGCAGAACCCAAAGAGCAGCAAGCTATTCGACCTCGTATAGCCAAAAAATATAGGTTTAGATATAAATTTGGTTAAAGGAATTGATAGATGACTAGCCCATCGCCAACTAAGCCAAATTCAATTTTCTATTAATAATAATAATAATTAATTTTACAGTTGGCGTATTTTTTTTTGTTATAAGTCTCATATAAAATGAGTACCAGACCAATATGGAAAAAACTAAACAACATATATGCATTGAATAAAACTAAATTTACGGATTTTATCGCGTTTATTTCACTACTTTTACTTATTTTTAATTCCCCTAATATTACTCACAACAGCAACAGGACTCAAAAATAATACTTATTTTTGAGTCCCCCCCCCCGTGACCATGGTTGCTGTAAAGCACCCGAAACGTCGGGAATTAAAAATAAGTAAAAGTAGTGAAATAAACGCGACAAAATCCGTAAATTTAGTTTTATTCAATTTGTAGTGTTCGCGTATATTTAAGAAATCATCACATATATGCACTCAACTTCTGTAATTAAAGCAACATTAATTCAAAAAGGTGCATAATGCTAAGTCAATTGAATACAATCTTCGGGCACATCATCAGATCACATCAGGTGAAATAGTACTTCAGTGCTGGCTCACGCCAGGTAAAAAATAAGCAGGGCTTTAGTCAAATACAGCGTAAATGTAGATTTCGCAATAATTAACGTTGATAATGGTGAAAAAATAAAACAATGTATATAAATAAAAGAATATATATATATATTCTTACATTTACGCGAATACTACACATTGAATAAAACTATATAATTATATGGATTTTATTGCGTTTAATGAACTGAGAAGTTTGACGTCACAATATCATAGTTAGCCCGACTATCTTTAGTTTTTGAATATTGATTTTTGATACCGATCTACATAAAACGAGCTTATAGTATCTTGAAGTCTTGCGGTGGTATGCTTGGGTTTGGGTAGATTTTGTTAATTATAGGATCCCAAGCAGATGGAGGCACCCATCCACCGACAGTGGCCGGCTTCACTCGGTCGCTGTGACGTAGGCGTGGGACGCAAAGCTTGTTGTCTTGCAATACTTGCTTGACATGCTGAAGCTCGGCGGCTAGATGTTTTCTATCACAGATCCCTTGTGCTCTCTGAAACTCGTATTGACCCACAGTAGCAAACTATGAAGAATGATGATAAAAATGCAGTTGCTTTGTCAGATGGTAAAATTGTGACAGTGTCGTCTACGTACCGCTTGTAGAATCCTGCATTTATAGGAGTAGTAAGAAGGGCTTTCTCCTCAAAGTCCTCCGTGATATATTATGTCGGCGACTATAGGAAATACAGGTGAGCCCATCCCCACATCATTAACTTGCTTATAGCCAGATGTGAAGCAGTGTTTGAGTAATACTGCATATTCTGCCGGCATGTTGTTATCTTGTAGCGTCCTAGTTACAATTGAGAAATAGTATTCAATAGGCAGGCATGTGAATAGTGACTGAACACCAAAACAGATCATAGTTTCATTGTCAGCGAGATGTAGGTCTTTTATCTCACTAACAAAATGGTGTGAATTCCTTTTGTGTGCTCTGGTATGTCCTTTCGGTGGTGACAGTATTTTTACCAAGTGTTGTACCTAAAAGTAGTATTTAATTAAGAAACCATACGATACGTGTTTCAAATTTAGATGTACTTAAAAATTAAAAATAATAATAATAATAATAATAATAAAAATAATAATAAAATGGCGTAGGGAAGTGACGACCCCATCGCCCGTTGACGTGACGGTTATGTGACAAAACCGCTACGTCCGCGCAGTCAGTCAGCACCTTGCCAAGAGGTGTGAGCGCCGTGCCTCGGCAAAAATTGATGGTGCAATGGCCCGCTTGTGCATATGGCCTCACCATGAAACGGCGCCGGGTCTGGGCGTCTCCCGTTAAATGACGCCCTGTATGGATGATGGAACGTAGAAGATTGCGCAAAGGGCCGCTGCCTGGAGGTCGTCAGGGCGCGTCTGGAGCTGGCGCTGGACGCGACAGCATGCGAACCGCCAGCCGAGCGCGAGGTGCTGCACGACCACCCTGCAGCCCCTCGCATCCATCATCCCCACCAGCTTGCTTGGTGTCGGCAGGGTCTTCGCAGGCCCAGCAATCGGCACCCGCCACTGGTGGAGTACGCCGCATGCGATGGACCATCAATATGAATTCAAACGCATTGCGGGCGTATTTTAGGGCGAAAGGGGGAGAAATTGGAGGTTTCGCGTATCGGGCTAGGGGATGCATCGTCTTTTTACTGAGCTGGAGCCATCTATTACTGTCACCGAGCAAAACCTGGCAGACCGAGTTCGGTATATCTTACGCTCAAATATATTTGATGGCGCCGAACTCGAACGGCTACGACGTGAGGCTGTTCCCCTCATCAAATGAAAACGCTACGACTGAGGGTGCGGTGCCACAAGTTGCAGAACAACCCGCACACGTGGATGCCGCCGAGAATACCCCAGTGGTTGCTGATTCAAATGATGATGGAACATTCACCCAGGAACTAGAAATAGAGCAAATGAGGAGTACATTGGAAGAGGCGATTATGGAAACGCGCAGTACGCCTCTCGAAAATCGACCGCGACTTCCCGCATAGCCCTAAGCAAGCGGAATCGGGCTGTCGTGAGGGCTCTGAACCCAATGCTGGTGACCTATTTGGAAGCCAGCCGGGACCTTTGCGAGACGGACTCAATTCTCTTTGGCGCCGCACTGGCAGTCTGCCGTATTATAGGCGCCAAACTTCCACGGCTGGACGCACTACTGGACAAAGTAGTGCTATCCCAGTCTGGAGAACAAGAATTGAAGAACGTATCGCAAAGGCTAGGGCCCCCTATCGGCAGACTGATATGCTTCAGGTCAGGCAATACCAGGCCAAGGATTGTGCGCACCGTCAGGATGGCGTTTGCTGGGACAAATGTTAGTTTGTCCCAGCCGGATATAATGCAAAAACTGACGGAGCGCATAGACGACCTGAAGCAGAGAATCGCTGCTTGGGGAAAGCGAATTCGGCGATATACCGAGAGGTCGACACGGTTCAACCAGAATCGTCTCTTCCAGAGTGATCAGAAGAGGCTCTATAAATCATTGGAGCGACCAATGGTAAGTGGAATGGGCCCAGTACCGAATCAGGCCGACACGGTCGCATTCTGGCGCAGCCTGTGGTCAGAGCCCGTAAACCACAACGAGGGCCCTTGGACGGAAGTTGTGGCGAGTCAGTGTGCGGGTATTACGCCCATGGACCCCGTCACCATAACGCCGGATGACGTAGCTGAGGCGGTCCGTAGGGCCCCGAACTGGAAAAGTCCGGGACTCGACGGGCTGCATCACTACTGGCTGAAGGGGTTCGTGGTGTGTCACACTGTGCTCGCCCGACAGTTTCAAGAGGTTCTCAACCAGAAGTCGCTCCCGAGCCTCTTCACTACTGGGATCACCCATTTGGTTCCTAAAGGCCAGAGTACCACAGACCCGAGCAAATTACGCCCCATCACATGTCTACCGACCATATATAAGACACTAACATCCATTTTGAGCGCGAGAATCACTCGTCACCTGGACTCAAATCAGGTGATGTCGCACGCTCAAAATGGATGTCGGGGCGGCGGTCGTGGAACCAACGAACCACTCCTCATTGACGCGGTCATTGGCAAAGTGGTGAAACGCAACCGTCGGAACTTCTCCGCCGCCTGGATAGACTACAGAAAGGCATTCGACTCGGTGCCCCATACATGGCTAAAGAGAGTCCTCGAACTGTACAAGATAGACTGTACAGTTAGAGACTTCCTCGAGCAGTGTATGGGGCAGTGGAGTACGATCCTTTGTCATCTGGGCGAGCGGATGATGGCTGCGGAGAACCACATAAGGATAAGAAGGGGTATCTTCCAGGGCGATTGTCTGAGTCCAATATGGTTCTGCCTCTCTCTGAACCCTCTCAGTACCTTACTGGAGGGCTCCGGGAGGGGATTTCAGCTACGGAAAGGAGGGACAAAAGTGACCCACCTTTTCTATATGGATGACCTCAAGTTATTCGCCTCCAGTCGCTCCCATCTTATGGAACTGCTAAACATCACTTGTGAATTTAGCAATTCCATTGGAATGGAGCTGGGGACGGATAAGTGTGCGGTCCTCCATGTTGAGGAGGGAGGGTTGCTAACTCTGAGGGCATAGACTTATCTATGCCCGTCAACTTAAGGACCCTTTCCGAGGCTGAAACATACCGATACCTGGGTATGTCACAGAACATTGGTATCGATGAGGGGCTGGTATGAAACAGTCAGTTTGCGACGTGTTTTATGCACGCTTGACCAAAGTGCTTAACAGCCTTTTGTCCGGTGTGAATAAGACACAAGCATATAACGGCTGGGTCATACCTGTCCTCATGTATACCTTTGGCATACTCAGGTGGACTCAGACTGAACTTAACGCCCTGGATAGAAAAGTCCGCACTACCACGACGTCCCACAGGATGCATCATCCGAGATCGTCGGTAATGAGGCTGTACTTGCCGCGAAAGCATGGTGGGCGTGGCTTCTTGAGCGCGCTCACCATGCATAATCGCGAAGTGTGCAGCCTCCGTAATTACTTCCTGGCGAGATCGGATGATCCATTCTATAAGGACGTCATTTCTTGTGATAAAGGACTTACCCCTCTATCCTTAGCCAACGAGCAATGGCAAGACCCGGCAGTGCAGACAATTTCCGACCGGGAGACCGTATGGAAGGAGAAGGAGCTCCACGGGAGGTTCTACAAGTCTCTACATGGGCCTTTCGTAGACATAGTAACCTCTCTCCACTGGCTACGCTTTGGTGACCTCTTCGGGGAAACCGAGGGTTTTGTCTGTGCAATAAAGGATCAGGTTATTAAGACCAACAACTATCGGAGATACATCCTAAAGGATGGCACCATCGACATCTGTCGAGCTTGTCGCCATCCCGGTGAGTCACTTAGGCATGTCATCTCCGGTTGTTCGGTGCTTTCTAACTCTGAGTACTTGCACAGGCACAACCTAGTAGCCAGAATTCTACACCAGGAGCTCGCTCTGAAATACGGTTTCGTGGATCGGAAGTTGCCGTATTACAAGTACTTGCCGGAAGCCGTGCTCGAAAATGATCGCGCCAGGCTCTATTGGGACCGGGCCATCATCACAGACAGGACTATTCTTGCGAATAAGCCTGATATTGTGCTGATGGACCGGGCACAGTCAAGGATATTTTTGGTCGACATTACCATTCCGTGTGACGAGAACCTCGTGAAAGCCGAAACAGATAAGCAAACAAAATATCTGGACGTGGCTCACGAGGTGACCGACATGTGGGGTGGTCTGCCGACCGAAATTATTCCTGCAGTCGTCTCTGCAAACGGGCTAATCCCAGCCAGGCTCTCGGGTCGTCTGAGGCGGCTGGGACTACGTGGCGGACCGCTCCAGGCTCAAATGCAGAAGGCGGTGCTCCTCGATACCGCCCGCATCGTCCGCCGGTTTCTTTCCCTTTCCCCCTAACCCTCGGCCGTTTGGTCTCCCCTGCCGAGGGCTTCCATCTGGTTGGGCTTTTTATTTATTTATGTATTTTCATATTTATTTTATTTTATTGATATTTTTGTATGTTTATCTTTTCATTTTCGTTTATAATTATATATTTATACATCCCAACCAGATGAGAAAACTATATAGATACCCCACACATAATAATAATAATAATAGGCCGGCTCGGCCGTTTGGTCTCCCATGCAGAGGGCCTCCATCTGGTTGGGCTTTTTATTTATTTATGTACTTTTATATTTATTTTATGTTATTGATATTTATGTATATTTATCTTTTCATTTTCATTTATAATTATATATTTATAGAACCCAACCAGATGAGAAAACTATATAGATACCCCACAATAATAATAGGATATTACTGAGGTTTATGTAACACTATAATAACAATAATCACATTATAACTTTCAGTTGTTTTATGGTTTATAAATCCGTTAAAAATAGTTTAATTTCGACGTGTAATATTCGCTTAAACATTAGGATATCACGTTTCAATTAACCACTTAATGCTATTACTTATTGTGTAATCTACATCGGTATTATACTTTTTAAAAAACGTAAAAGTCCATACTGAAACTGGTAGTTATAGAGATGGTATAGCGTAATCCAACAGCTTTCCACGGTTTTTAATATTATGAGTATTGTCTTCTGTGAATTGCCTTGAGCATAGCGCACTATTTTTGGTGGGAAACCATTGGTCCCCTCGACAAGTAGCGTCGATCCACATCTTTTCCTCTCGGGGCATTTAGGAAACCTATAACATATACTTAGGTACCACAATGATACACCACTATTTGTATAAAACAATGACTACAAATAGTAAACGATGACCAAACAAATATCGACTTATAAATCACAACACTATCGATACACGTGCTGTCGTTTCGTTTCATTACATTTCAAAAAGTTATCAACAGGTGCTTAATTGATATCACTTTGCAACATTATATTACCAGTATCAGTTGAACTCCGGTGCATTTGAGATAGGTTAACGTGATAAGAATAGAATTTACGAGTACTTACCGATGAAATATTATGCCTTCTTTTTGATAACTGGATGTCTTAGCTGACACTCCATACCATTTCACTGCACGGGAAGCTATTTGTAATGTATTTCGGATTCAAAATTATTTTTAGATTTTCAAAAACTTGAACATTTCTACGGGTCACAAACTTGGTCGAAAAGTATACCGTGATTCTTAGCGTCACTTCATATGCTAGCTACAGCAAGTATGTGTTGCGCGCGTTTGTGGCCCTGTATGCGGAACCTATTAGGGGGTAATCTGTGGCGCAAGCGCACACCGATAGCTTCGAGACGGTGTTGCGCAAACGGGTATCTTCGCTCATGCGCGGAATACGTGGTAGCTCACATAGTGACAAACCAGATTGTCCTGTTATGAGACACTGCGTGACTATGCATGTGCATAAACCTAGTGCCTCAGTCAGGCCTGGTTTGTAATTACACTAATTATTCTCAAATATTACTAACATAGTTATAACTTTTGTGTACCTACTAACCATTATGGATGTTATGTCTGAAATAAAGAGATTTTATTTTATTTTTATTTAATACAAAAAACGAAATTATTTTACGAGTGTTGTTATGTTTGTAGTATAGTATTTCTTAATTCATTTTATTAAAATAAAATTAAAAACGAATTTAGGGGAGGCGAATTTATTTACTAAAATTACTCATCTGTGCCTTGACCATTGACAGTGTTTTGTATATATAGAATAAGGGTGAAAAGCGACCACACAATTCACCTAATGATAAATGAATGCCATAAACATCACCATTTAACGTCGATTAAGAATTAAAATACCGAAGCGCTGTCGCCCCTGAGGACTAAGATGGAATGCTTCGTTTCCAGAAAAAGGGTCTTCGGTTTTTTTTATTCACTATACGAAACACAGCATCATTGAGCTGCTATTTTACGCCAGTATTTTGTGAGAGCGTGGCCCTACCCTGTGTTATGACGACTAAGGGTAAGTAAGCGCTTTTATCTAACATTACATTATTTATTATAAACGAGTCAGCTTTAGTTACTCAGAAATTTAAAA